TTGACCACCTCCAATCCTCTGATATCACCCGGTCCATCGATCTCCTTATGCCCAGATTTTGCCGACGATAAATAAGACTTGAAGTGTATGCTCACGGTCGTCAAATCTGTTCTGTCAGCTTCGTATCGCATGCTGGAGCCAGTTAATGATAGTCTCTAAACGAGAAGGGACAGAGAAATGGATGGCCGGAAATGGAATGAGTAGAGAGTAGACTGATGTGATCTGCAATGAATCTAAGAACTGGAATGAGGTGACTTGTAGATGTCAGTTCTAAAAAAAGATAGCTAAAGGTATGATCAGGCTCCTCCCATACTTTTTGAGTCAAATGCTACGTTTTTGCAGAGAAACCCTTGAAGCACGCATCTGAGTTACTTATGGAGATTCATTTTTTCATACTACTTGACCCATCGACTACTTATTGCAGGAACAATTCTCTACTTACAAGCTCTTTCGGGACTTTTCCTTCGGCTTTCCATCTTTTACCCTTCCCCCACCTTTCTGCTCACTGATCCTTCGGACCCAACACTGCTCGGAGTCACAGTGTTCCCCACCACCCACCACTCCTTTTCACTAGTTGAACGCTCAGGAAATGCTCCTGATAAGAGTTGATTTGGTAAGGTTCAGTTCGACTCACAGTTGTTCTAAACAACAGTTCTACTCGAGCTGTGTCTACTAACGTTCCGATGTTGATATGGAAAGCGCTAAAAAGCAAAGACGATGTTGATATGGAAAGCGCTAAAAAGCAAAGAGAAGAAGTGAGTCCTCTTTTCTCTTCGATGTTGATATGGAAAGCGCTAAAAAGCAAAGAGAAGAACGATGTTGAGATGGAAAGCGCTAAAAAGCAGAGAGAAGAAGTGAGTCCTCTTTCCTCTTTCGTACAGTCGAGTTTTCAGGCTCGGCGAATTTGAGCGAATGCGCCTGGCATCACCAGGCTAAAAGCAGGCAACATTATAATGTACTACGCTTTATACAAGCTCGGAGGCTCCTAACACTTCGGGTTCAGGAGGCGACAAAGTGGTCACCTACCGGAGACAGGTCATTGTGTTTGCGGGGTCTTGGCTAGTCTCGTCAGAACCCTCCTTCTCTTACACCTACAAGACGGAGTCCTTGGGCAACTCAAAGGATACCTATGTAGTATCGGTGAAGCGATCGCGGTATGTTCTATCCAACCCCGGAGTCCACCGCTGTTCTCGTC